TATAATGGAGGGGGGCATAATGGAGGGGTGTTACTGGGAGGGGGGTATAATGGAGGGGGTAATGGTGGTGTGGGAGGGGGGACTAAATACCTGCTTTCCCTGGTGGTCCAGTGGCTTCTTTCCCTGGTGGTCCAGTGGCTTCTTTCCCTGGTGGTCCGGTGGTGATTCCTGGTCTGCAGCTCCGCGCAGTGTGCAGAGCTGCAGACCAAGTGTCTCGCGAGACCCGGTCAGAGCGTTGCCGTGGTAACCCGCGGCAACGCTCTGATTGGCCAGATCTCGCCAGACACTTGGTCTGCAGCTCTGCACACTGCGCGGAGCTGCAGACCAGGGGTTGCAGGCGCTCTCTCGCCAGGAGGGGCCTCGCACCCGGCGGCATACCGGGCAAGCCGCCGGGCCCCCTCCTGGTGTCAGGTCCTCGGTCACTGACCGAGGACCTGACACAGATTGCCCACAGGCGGTTTAGGCGGCCGCGAGGCCTTAGGCGGCCGCCTAAACCGCCTAATTAGAGAGCCGCCTCTGAGGCAGAGCACTTGAAAGGGGAAGATTACTTTCCCCTCAATTCCTCGCAATGTGGGCTCCCTTGGCTGCTTTATTTTGGGTTTTGTCTTTTTGTTTTTTTTAAATTTTAATTTTTATTATAACATCTTGCACAGGTTTATAGGAGATTTAAAATACCTCACGTCATACATGATCGTGAGTCCAAACAAAAAAAAAATGCGTAAACATAAGATCACATAAACATCAGCAATATATTGGTGACAAACGTATATCTATATGTAAGAAATGAGAAATGCTAAATTAGCATTCATGAGAAGCACAGACATATAACTTTTTCATTATGCAACAAAAAAGGATTCCATAAGGGAGGCAGGGGAGGGGAGAGGACAATAGACTAACACAAGCCAAAGTGCGTGGGAGGGAAGTATAGTGGTGGGGGGGGTGAAGTTGGGTACCATTGGTGACTACTATGTTGCTCATAAGAGCAATATCAGGCTCTGTGTAAAGGTCTAGATTCCAAAACTTAGGGTATATCTCGATCATAGGGGGCACACTAGTACATGAATCCCACATATCCCAGGCTGTCTGCCAAAACAGGTTGTACATTGGGACTTTTCTAGCTATTTTTTCCAGTTTACCCGTTTGTGTAATATAAGCGATCAACTTGTCTTGTGACGGGACAATGGTAGATAACCATTTACGTGTGAGTAGTGAGAGTACACACACTAGCTACATCCCCTTTACACACTATGTCACCTATACACACTCTCTACCGCCCCTAGCCACCCATTTAACACCACAAACAACACGACTGAAACTGACCTATTTACACAAAATACCACACCACAATCAGATCAGTCTTCATACACAATCCCACAAGCAGCCTCCAAACACATGCACGATACCCTTTCCTGGCCCTTTTGTCCTTTGGTATCCCACTTATGGAGACACCAGAGACAAGTCACAAACAAACACAGCGCAAGCATGTCCTTTTTCTCATGCGAGAGCTCTTCAGCAATCTCTGTGCAAGGGCTAGCCTGGAAGAGCATTGAACCAACATGCTCACTTTGAGAGGTGGCATGCTTGTTGTTGGTGATGACTAAACACCCCCTTCTATGGCCCTGTCCCAATTGTTTTTTTCCAAGTTCGGCACTGTAAGTGACCTATACAAATAAACAGTTATACGAGAAGTATAATCCAGTCCTGTTGTGTAATAGCTATCTCCTTTACTTGACATTTTTTTAAATTTATTTTGGCTGATTTCCAGTGCGTAATCTTAGAGAATGTCCTGGCAAACTCTGCATGACTTCAGCAGCTTAAATATGCGAGAGTCAGCTTGCTTTCTTCATTCTTATAAGAGGAGGCAGAAACAGTTATAGCAAGACAAACTCGGAGACAAAAAGCCATAGAACAGTAAGCATGGATACATTCTTCAAGGTGTACTTAATAGCTATTTTAGCTGTTTTAGCACAGTGTCAGATGACAGAGAGGAAAGGCAGACCGGGAGGCTGGCATGATGTAAAGGTAGACGATGAAGGGGTTCAGAAAGTGCTGCAGTTTGCTGTAACTGAACACAACCAAGAAAGTAATGGAGAGTTTATGAAAGTCAACAGAATAGTCACGGCCAGACGACAGGTTAGTAAAACTGGAATCTCTCTATCTATCTAAATTTATTTATATCTCTTAATTTAATTATCTCTACCTATATCTTTATGTAATGTTATCTCTAGCTAATCAACATATCCATCCTTCTGTCTTTATCTATCTATCTATCTATCTATCTATCTATCTGTCTGTCTGTCTGTCTGCCTGACTATCACTCTTTCTGTCTGGCTTTCTCTAGCTTGTATGTATCTATCTGTACGCAACAAAGAAAGTAATGGAGAGTTTATAAAAGTCAACAGGATAATAATGGCTAAACGGCAGGTTTTTGGGGCAAAGAGAGTGATGTGTGTATTTTGGCATTTGTGCATTCAGTGCCAATATCTCTAATTTTAAACGACAGGTTAGTAAAACTTGTAAAACATTTCAATATTGATTTACATTGGGAAAGAGAGAAGCTCCCCAAAGCTCGTCAAATTTATATTAGTCAAATAAAAAGTATTAATTTTCATCTGGACTAATACAGCTACACATAAATCTTTTATAGCTCTATCTTTCTAAGCCTCTAGTCTTCTATATCGTCTGTCTGTCTGTCTATCTATCTATCTATTTGGATAACCTATAGGTTTCAGATGATCATTTGAGTAAAACATTTATTGCAAACATTCCTTTTTACTATGCTTCTTGTACAAAAGAACATATAGATGAGATTTATAGCTCTATATATATATAGTTAAATTAATGTAATTCATATTGTAAAGAATGATTGCAGTTAAAATATGTGAAAAATAGGTAACAATACTAAAATGGTATAGTATATTGTAAATGGATTTTAGAACCTAGATGTTTATGAGGATTAAAAGGTAAACTTTACCAGATCAGATTCAGTCGCGTCAAAGGGACACTATAAGCACCATTGCAACCTATTGTAGTGGTTATGGTACAATGACTATGAGTATAGACTTCTGACAGAAAAAAAATGACTATTGCCTGGAACACTAAATCGATCCTCTTCTGGTTTATCAAATAACTCAGTATTTTCAATATTCATCCAAAATAGATTTCTGCAGTTAAGCAACATAGCTGTGGTGAAAAAGGAGTTAATGATGGTCGGTGCAAACAAATATCTCTTGCCTATAACAATCTTTTGGACACATAATGCAGAAAATAAAACTCCCTTATTTAGAAGCCCGGAATGGAGAGTGGGCTTTTGGTTCCAGGGAATACTCTGTGATAGCAACATAAACCCAGTCTCTCTTTCCTTATTTAGTACTTTGTACATAAGCAAGCAGAGACACACACACACACACACACACACACATACACACACATATATACATTTGTGTGGAAATATATTGAAATCTTAATGTCATTCTGTTGCTTTAATTATTGATGATATTTATATATATATATATTAATACACACACAACAATTCTTCCACCTACTGCAAAGAATTTGGAACCGTTTCTGTTAGCAGCAATATCCTGCCTAAGCCCTACAGTAAAGGAAAAGATTGTACAGCAAATGCTGATGCCAATCATTGATTATGGGGATGTAGTATATGCATCTGCATCGCAATCCCACATTAATAAACTCAATACATTGTATAACTCGTTCTGCCGATTTGTGCTACAATGTAATTACAGGACCCACCATTGTGACATGCTATAAGAACTAAACTGGCTGTCGCTGGAATCCAGACGCACCCTTCATCTTTCCAGCCTTGTGTTAAGAGCTTTTCTGGGAAACTCCCACCCTACCTGAGCAAAATGCTTTCCCCAGCTGTTCCCACTTCCTATAAGCTCCGATCCAGTACCAACACTTTACTTAGTCTACCTCAATACAAAAAGAAAGCAGCCCAATCCTCCTTCTCCTACAGAGCACCGCAATTGTGGAACGACCTTCCACACAATTCAAAATCTTCCCTAAGCCTAAAGTCCTGTAAGAGATCCCTCTCTACATACCTCAAAACAGAATGGACCTGTCATGGTTGATTATATATTTCCTGCCTGTTCTATGTTAAATTTTGTATTTATTGTGTATTAATATTGTTTTTGTATTTTATTATATCCTAATGTAACAATGCAATGATTTGTGGACCCAGGACATACTTGAAAACGAGAGAAATCTCAATGTATCTTTCCTGGTAAAATATTTTATAAATAAATAAATAAAATATATAACACATATACATTAATGACACATACACACACAAATAGTAGATACACACACAGATAGTAAATACACACACAGATATGCACACAAATAATACATGTACACACCAAGACAAATATATACAAGATCACAATTTACAGATTTTAGCCACCACCTGCTTCCATACCTTTTTGGGAGATGGGGCTGGGCCCCCTGAGCGTTCAGGAGGATATTCCACTACATTGCCAACGCCACTGATTTTTGTAACAACAGCAGCCACACTGCCGCCCTCTCCTGTAGTCACGCCACTGGACAGGTGATTAGCATGTGTTAATATCTGCCTATCACACAGCCTATTTTAAATCTGGATACCAAGCAGCAAGGGGTGAATGCTCTGTCACGCACTCAGAAATTCCAGCGTTCATTCTCCTCTATAGCAGCATTTCCTGAATCATGGTCCTGGGTCTTGTTCCCCAATTGTGCATTCCTTAAGTGGGGGGATCACCACTCAACACTCATATGGTAGAAATTCCAAGGACAATATTTATTTAGGATGTACCTGGCTTTGATTAACCTAAGTAGCATGAGTCAAAGCTTTAAATGGGCTCTTCACCCTCAAACGTACTCCACTTCCATGTTGTTTTGGCATAGTATTATTTAGTTCACAAACCATTTTGTTCTAACTTATTATTAAAACATTATTATATTTTATCCTGTATTTTGCAAATTGATAGTCAGTTCACCAAAACTCATCCCTTATTCATAATTGCATGTATTGAATATAATTCACTTTTTTTTGTTACTGTGTACATAAAACATGGAAAACGTCTAATCATATTATATTGTTTCTTTATTCTGCTTATTTGGCTAACGTGCTTGGCTTTTAGAATATTTCTTTGTGAGTGAGCTAACAGAAAAAAAAATGTTTGTTTTAAAGGTGGTGGCTGGAATGAAATATAATTTGAAAGTTGATGTTTCCATCTATAACTGCCAAATCTCTGATACTGAAAATTGCCAAAATCCAGAAAATTCCAATCAACAGGTATGGCCATCTAGCAAAATTCTATTACTATGTTCTATTTACTGTATTAACCAAACTTCAATGAACATCAAAGACAGCAAATTTGTATTTTGGGCAACGTGTTAAAATAAAAACACAAATCAGTTTGTTTAAACATCATATTTTATTTTACAATATTTTATGCTAGGCACCATGTTTAATTGTAAAAAAATGATGATAATAGATTTTTTTAATCGAACTTTTCTAAAAGGTGAAAGCAGAAGTGGCACATTGTAAAATAATAAACAGAGATAATTTTACACAGGGCTTTTCAATAAATTCGGAACTGTGGTGAATTAAATCTGAATTGCAGATTTGAGGCCAAAAATAGTCAAACTGTGACTTTATCTTAAATCAGCTATTGTAGTCTAAAATGTGCTATTTGGATTTCAATTGGTGGTAAGTCTGGGTTAAGTGAGTCATGTATCAAGACATAAAATGTATATGTTAACTCATTCATATATATACATATACACACGTCATACAGCATCAAGCGCATTCACTCATTCACTAAACGGCAATTTCAAGTCTCACAGAATGCAATAGTCTTCTTTAAAAACACCTAACCCTGAAAGTTACCCTAAAGAAGAGCTTTGCAAACTTTTCATGTTGGTGACACACTTTTTAGACATGCATCCTTTTGTGACACAGTCGTGGTAGAAATAGTGTTGTATTTCTTGAATACATTGCTTCAGTTGCGACCGCATCACCAGAAGTTTCAACCTGATTACGCATGCTGTGCATGCGCCGTACATGTGTGATTCCTCAACAATCTCTCTAACACTCTGGCCCCTGTTAACAATATAGTAATGTCATAGCATCTGTGGCTGGCAGACTGGTGTTGCAGGCTGGCAGGCCTCTTTCTTACCCCAGCCCCTTTGTGCGTCTATTTCTTCTCTAATCCCTTTGTCTCTTTTCCCCCTTCATCTCTGTATGTCCCTTCCCCCCACCTCTTTTTTGTGTCTCTTTGTCCTCCCTCATCCCCTCTGTGTATCTCTTTGTTCTTGCTTATCCCATGTGTGTCTCTTTGTGTTCCCTCAGCCCTCCTGTGTGTCTTTTTACCCCTAGCCCCTCTCTGTGTCTGTGTGGCCCCAGCCACTCTGTGTGTCTTTTTTCCCCAAGCCCCTTTGTGTGTCTCTTTGTTCTCCCTCCTCTCTTGTGCCTTTCTTCTGTCCCTCCTTCCCCTTCTGTGCCCTTTTTCTGTCCTAAGATAAACATGACATGGACAAGACACCGTGACCTCTTCAGTGTTTTGAAGTTGTAATGGTGCTTGTAGTTTGTATGTGCAACGTTTCAAATCTGTTGTCCCATTAGTGGGGGGTGAGAGAGCAGCACTATGGTACTCCTCACATGATAACGGCAAGCTGGAGTAACCCTTAAATCACGGTGGAAAGTTGTTTTTCATAAATGAAACAACTTTTACTAAACTTGTCTAATTGTCCCAAATTGTGAGCATTGTGTTTACAGATTGCTTATGTAGTGAAAAAGTATTCATACAGTTCAGTGTGTAAAGAATATTTTGATGCATCTAATGCAGTATTATGCATTTACAGTTTATTAGCCTTTAAATACTGGACAGTAGGAACATTTAAACAGCATATTATTTTCTTTCATTTTGACAGAAAAAAAGATGCACATTTGAAGTTATTACAGTTCCTTGGATGAACACGACCGAGGTGAAAAGGAAACGTTGCTATGACAGGATATGAAGATTTACCTTCCAAAAGAATCAATATAAATGCATTTTTGTAGCACACAGCATAACTTCTATCCACATATAATGTTTCCAGGCACTGGAGTTATAAAAACTGTCATAAACACCCCTTTTTAAGGCTGGTTAAATTAAACTGGACACAATGTAACAAACAAAAAGAAAAGCACCACCTAATTTGAAATTTCAATCAACACTCAATGAATAAAAGTACTTGATTTGATACAATGAAAGTCGCACAGTAATAGGAAGAGTGGTTATTGTTATTTTTTCTGATTGCGCAGACTAATTTGGATGCATATGTATACTTGCACTGAATGATTGTACAAAAATCCCAATGATGGGATCAAACGAGAACAAGAGATCATTAATAAAATAAATGACCTTTTTTTCATTCATTTCTCTGTTTCCTTTCTGTGCGCTTGATGTTTGCAAGTGTATGGCTTTGCAATCGATTATTAATGTATTTTGTGGCTGGTTTTCTTAACTGTGCTGTGTGTAGTTCAATTGCAATGCTATGCACTTACTAATTATTGACCAATAGATGGCAATAGCATCACACTATTAAGTAGAGAAAGCAAGTACTAAATGACAAAACAGATACTGAATTCATGTGTGGTCACATTAGTATATAGACACACAGACAGACAGAGAGAAATATATTTTGTCAGTGTCAACATTTATTTAGCAGTACCCTGTACATACCTGTCCTTCTAAGTACCTCTGTTTTCAGCTGCCAACTGTCTTCCTCAATAACCCACTATGTCTTCTCAACTATCTCATATATAATATATATCCAATACAAATACACTCACTGGATTCAAAAAATCTAATTAGTGTATTAAATTTCCACAAAACAGATCAACATTTCGACCTTACGGTCAAGACGTTTTGGCTTTTCTAAATCCCCAATAAAGGTTCTAGCCATGTCAGTCTTCCCCTTGATATGATCCCACCACTGTGCAATTTAAAAAAATAAAGAAATCTACTCATCTGATCACCAGTACCAAGTCTCTTCATCATGTGATGTCATACTGTAGGCGTACCTACAGGAGAACAGTCCAATCTAATGCTCTTCAAAGTGGCGCATTAGGTTGCACCAAAATCCCACCACAATCAGCCTATGATTCTGCCATGGAGAACCATTGCATATAATGATTCTTTATATAAATAAAACAACAGCGGACAGGCGCTCACTAAGATAACAAGGAAGAAGGCTGCAGTGAACCAGCAAGCATTCCCAACCCTTGCTAAAATACAAAACGTGAAGGAAAAAGGTGTGGTAAACTGCACCAAAGCAAAACAGCAAAACAGTATATATACATACACAGTATATTGTAAGTAATGTATATTGTAAGTAATGTGAATTGTGAAAACAAGCAGGTATCCTACAATTTTCAAAACAACGACTTGCTCTGGTAGTACAGTATATGCCTATGATGGTACAATCCCCACCTACGATGTGCAGGAATCAAATGCAGTAGAACAGCAGCAGGGTAAAATCTAAATAATAAAATAGGGATTGTAGTAGTTAACTTTATTATTTAAAAATATATATTAAAATATTCAAAAACAAATTAAGTTTAAAGGTAAGTTGCTCCAGTCCCCACTTAATGATTCTCTATGACTGACTGTGACGGCACTGTGCAACATTAGGAAAAAACTTAATAGCCATTCAGTGCCTGTACATTGCAACCAATGTTCTAATTTTAATTTTAAAAACCTTTCGTGTGTTGGTATAGAACAAGTGTCACTGGATGAAGGGGGAGGTGATTTAATTCTGAGATTGAGATAGAGAGAGGGCTTTGGGATTTATACATTGAAAACGATGCAGCCGGAGGGTTTAAACATAGATTTTGATATGATTTGTTTTTTGTGACCCCTAAATCCTCTCTTTGTCTCCAAATGTGTTGCTTTTTAATTGTTTTTTTAATTGGTTGTTTGGATGGTCCCTTTAATTCAATCCAATTGCTTTATTTTATATTAGTTTTTACTAATGAATAAATACATTTTAAATCCAAATTATATATATATTTCTAAATTATGTTTTTATATATGCTATTTATTGACATTTATAAATATTAATTGATATTAAACATAATGGGGACACATCCATACATTTATTCTCTATAGTATATGTGGTTTGCTTATATATTACCTTTGACCTTTTTATTCCAATATATCCATTCTTATATGGGTATTATATACAGTATGCTTACTATTATTAGTACTGAATCTTGCTCTTATTTCCCCTCCATATATCTTGTTATATTTCCCCCTTATATCGAGGACTTCTATGTGGACTTTGCTCTTTTGCAATGAAAATTGTGGTGAAACGCATATTCGAACGCATGAGAGTTGTGCATGCTTTTTCGCCGAAAATTGACGGTGCTTCCATACGAAAATGAGGCTTGAGACGCTCCGAACTCGGAAGTAATCATGGAAATTCTAAATATGTGTTTCTAAACAACGGACGTTTCAGATTGGTCTATAGCCATGCAGAATGGCGCCAAAGAGGCCTTTAAAGATGGGGGTTATCTACTCCCGGTATACAGACGCTGGGAATCCCCTGATGAGGTCCAAGGAGGGAGGAAACGCATAGGGCGAAAGAAGGACCTAGTGACAGTGTGTTTTATTATTGTATATACTGATTTTAGCCTTATATTTGATCCTGTTGTGGGAGAATCTGCAGCTATCCATGTGGACAAATTTGATATTGATGGGCTTACCTTTCAATTTTATCTTGTGAGTACAATAATAAAGCGTTGTTAAATTTATTTACAATACTGCACTATGTTCCTTTTTCTTTTATCTTCCTACATTTATACCTGGAACAAAAGAAGATAGAAAAACTCTACCAAAACTATATGTTTTGCCTATTTATCATCTACCTTTGTGAGTGCAACTTATTGTTCCACTATACTTGGTGTCCCCACTAACTTCACTATTGTAATTTTTTGTATTTTATATTGCAGATTATTTATGATGTATTTTATGGTTTGAGAAGTCTTCATGGAATGGTCTTTATATTTCTGCATATTTTTGGATAACTCATTCCTTTACCACTGGTGTTGTTTTTACTGGGTTATATATATATTTTTCATGTACTAATTAAGACAACTTTTTCCACAAAATAGCCTGCATTCTTTACGGCATGGATTCAGTAGCCCAGATACATTTACAAGCCCTCTGGGTAGGAGAACCAGGATAACTACTTTCATACCCAAATATACCATGACATCACGTGCACATGGTTCCGGTTACTTGGTGTCCCCACTTACTTCACTATTGTAGTTTTTGTATTTTATATTGCAGATTATTTATGATGTATTTTACTCAGTACATAATAAAGTGCCACAGCAGACATCCTAAGTCTCCTGATAGAGATATATATGCTAAATGCCCATTATAAATGTTTTTTTAAGATTATCCACCAGATTAATATTATGATGAACAGAGGCCTGGTCCGGTGCCGTGGGCCTTTAAAAACTTGACCGGGCACCTGCAGTATCTGCCAGCTAGGAGGAAGTAATAGACAGCCTGTCACTTCCTACCAGCTAAAAAGACAGCTATGCGATCAGAGGTGGAGGCTGGAGCACACAGGCAGCATGGAGGCAGAGGAGAGGCTGGAGTGAGCTGCTACATGCTCACTCCTATCAGCCTCATCCAGGACACAAGGAAATCTAACAGAAGGTCAACTTATTATACCACGCAGGTCAAATTATTATACCATGTGTTTATGTATGTAAGATTGTGTGTATCTGTGTATGTGCTAATGTGTGTCAGTGTGTATTTGAGTGTGTGTGTATATGTGCCAGTGTGTGTGTATATATGTGCAAGTGTGTGCTAATGTGTGTGTCAGTGTGTATCTGTGTGTCAGTTTGTATCTGAGTGAGGGTGTATGTGACAGTGTTTGTATCTGTATGTATCTAAGTGTGTGTATGTACCAATGTGTGTATCTGTGTGTATATGTATGTCAGTGTGTATCTGAATGTGTGTATGTGCCAGTGTGTGTATCTGTGTGTATCTGAGTGAATGTGGCTGTGTGTATATCTGTATGTCAGTGTGTATCTGAGATGTGTGTATCTGAGTGTATGTGCAAGTGTGTGTATCTGTGCATATATGTGACAGTGAGTGTATACGTATGTGTAAGTGTGTATATCTGTGTGTCAGTGTGTATCTGTGTGAGTGTGTATGTGCCAGTGTTTGTAGCTGTATGTATCTAAGTGTGTGTATCTGTATGTATCAAAGTGTGTGTATGTGCCAGTGTGTATCTGTGTGTATTTGAGTGTGTGAGCATCTGTATGTCAGTGTTTATCTGAGTGTGTATATGGGTGCGTGTGTGTATCTGGGTGTGTGTATCTGTGTGTATGTGCAAATGTGTGTATCTGTGTGTATATGTGACAGTGTATGTGTATGTGTCAGTATCTGTGTGTCAGTGTATGTATTTGTGTGTTAACAAGGCTACTTAAAATCACCTATCTTAGCTAAAAAAAAAAAATGAGGATTCAGTTCCACCATATGACCATACTGTGTAAAGCCCACCACTACGCCACAGTACCCTAATATCGGTGGGTCGTCCACTAATTTTAACATGGGAGATTTACATGCTAACTTGCAGTATAAACTGCTTCAAGAGTCTCCTCAATTTAAGCTTTTCTGTGGTCATAGTGAATAGGTGGGGTGCTCAGCCCAATAGGAATCGTGTCTAGATTCCAAATAGATGTGCACAAACTGTAAAACGAATTGTTTGTTGTATTCTCTGCATTTGTACCTGCTTACAGGTGACCTATTCAAACAAACTTGTACTTGACATTTCTTTTTAGTTGTTTTGGCAAACTCTGCATTACTAAGTCCAGCAGCTGAGATATCTGAGTCAGCTTGCTTTCTTAATTCAGGTAGAAATAAGTAGAAATAGTTAGAGCAACATAAACTCAGAAAGAAAAAGCCATAGAACAGTAAGCATGGAAACATTCTTCAAGGTGTACTTGATAGTTATTTTAGCAGTGTTAGCACAGTGTGATCTGACAGGTAACAGAGCTAGTCCTCTTCTGGGAAATTGGCTTGGTGTAAAGGAAGACGATGAAGGGGTTCAGAAAGCACTGCAGTTTGCTGTAACTGAATACAACAAAGAAAATAACGGAGAGTTTATGAAAGTCAACTGGATAATTACGGCTCTGAAAAAGGTTAGTAAAAAATTTCAATATTGCTTAAGATTTGGTAAAGAGAGAAGCTCCACAAAGCTTGTCAAATTTCTATTAGTCAAATAAAAATGAATTAATTTTCATCTGGTCTAATACAGCTACTCATAAAATCTATTATACCTCTATCTTGCTAAGCCTCTAGTCATCTATGTCATCTATCTATCTATCTAGACAACTATTACAAAAGATTGCGCGCTGTCATTGATACTAAAGGGGGCTATACACAGTATTAAGAACTACGGGTATGCAGACTTTTGAACAGGGGTCATTTCACTTTTTTCTTTGTTGCCATGTTTTGTTTTATGATTGTGCCATTCTGTTATAACCTACAGTTGAATATGAATCCCATAAGAAATAAAATATATGTTTTGCCTGCTCACTCGGGTTTTCTTTAACAATGGTACATATGTTACCAATTCTCCAAAGGTATGCAAACTTTTGAGCACAACTGTCCACACAGACACATTATAATTTTCCCTTTCTCTTTTTGCCCTGAATCTTACCTGAGAGGGAGTGGGGCTCCAGTATTGTTTTGAATTAGAGTAGAAAAGAGAACGGTGCGCTTGGCAATACACGCTTTCTTCCTGCTTCTCCTATTCATTAGACAGGTGGTAACCAGAGATGCCTACGTCACACACCCTAACTCGGGACTCCTAAAACAAAGTCCCAGGCTTATTTCCCACTTGTTCATTCCTTAAGGGGGGCCTCTCTCCTACCAGAGCTGAATAATTTACAACAAATGCATGACCTAACACACATATGGTGGAAATTCACTGGCTTTAATCAACCCATGTAGCATGAGTCCATTTTAACATGTGACTCTAACCAACTTGTTTTAAATGTTCTCTCCACCCTAAAAAATGCTTCACCTCCATGTTGTTTTGGTGACTGGAATAGTGTCTTTGACCAAAGGTGGGTACCCGAGCTCCTTTCACATCTGTTCTACCATGTAAAGAACAGGAATTTGCCTTGAGGGCAGATAGCAGGCTGAGACCGTCAGCTGACAATCCCTTCCTAATCACTGCTTTCACAGGAGAAGGAGATAGGAGGCATCGTGGACAACATCGGGGTTAAAAAACAACAACATTTATCCCTGTATAGTAAGATGGCATCAAGGGACTCCGCCACCGGACTTCATTGAGATAATTTTTCTCAGGAAGGCTGTTTTATCCCTCATTATATCAGTTGATTACAAATCTGCTACAATGTTACCTCCTATGGGGCTGCTTATTGACAGCGTTGAGTCGACATTTAACTTGCTAATTGTATTTCTAGATGAATGAGTTGGAAGTCATATTTAATTTAGCAAAGTTAGAGATTTTTGTTCTCAGTTAGTATTATTATAATTAATCCTATTTTTTTGCAAATTGATAGTCAATTTCCCAAAACTCACCCCTTTTTCACAGTCATACATATTAAATATGATTCATTTTTATTACTGTGTTCATAAAACTTGGAAAACGTCTTATCATATTATATTATTTCTTTATTCTGCTTATTTGGTTAACATGCCTGACTTTTAGAATACTTCTTTGTGAGTTGATGGAATTTAAAAAACAAAAATTTTTTTAAAGGTGGTGACTGGAATGAGATATAAATTGAGAGTGGCTGTTTCCATCTATAAATGTACAGTCTCTGGTTCTGAAAATTGCCAAAATCCCAAAAATTCCAAACCAAAGGTATGGCCGTCGAGAGAAATTATATTACTTATTATATTATATATACTGTGTTAATGAACATGTTACATTTCAATGAACATCGAAGACAGCAAATATATTTATTTTGTGCAACATGTTAAAATAGAAAAACACTTTCAGTTTGTTTAAACAATATATGGCATTTTATGCTAGGTACTATGTTAAATTTTCTAAATTTTGCAATGTTAATGATTTTTCTAAAACTAATTTAATAAAAAAATCCTTAAAAAAAAAACCCAATCAAAATTACAATAACATATATTTATTGAAAAATGCAAAAAGTGACTGCATAAATAACAAATTGTAAAATTTTGTACAGAAATCATTTTACACAGTGTTTTTTAATAAACTCTAAAATGTAGTGAATTAAAATCTGAATTGCATAACTGAGGCTAAACTAGATAAACTGTGACGTTAGCTTAGTTGGAGAACCCAAATCAGCTATTTTAGTTTAAAATGTGCTGTTTGTATTTTAATGGTTTAGTGAGTAAACTTTACAAATCATAATGCTGTAATCTGTCAAGACAGAAAATGTATATACTCACAGGACTTCCAGGATATAATTTTTTATGTCAAACGCTAAACATGACACACACAGGGCACCACGACCTCGTCATTTTTTGTTTTGAAGTTGTAATGGTCTGTATGTGCAACATTTCAGTATGAACCAGATCTCTTTGTCCATTACTGGGGGACGGTGTTCATGGTTCTCCTGACACCATAACCACTACAGCAGGCTGGAGTAACCCTTAAATCATTGTGCAAAATATTTTTCATGAATGCCATAACTTTAATCTTAGAGAAGGAGTATGATGTGGAGTAATCAAAATCATAGCTTGTCCTTTTCTAGCAGTACACAGAGTTCTCAAATACATAAAAAATTATAAGCTACATATTTAACATTTAGGAATAATGATTGATGCTTATTAAATATGCATGATTCAAGGATTTATTTTACATGATACAATCAGTGGGGTTGCAAGGTGTGTGTGGGGGGAGAAGCGATTCACCCCAGATGACACGCATTGGGGGGCAGCTCTGCTTGCCAGGTCTCCGTGGTGCAGAGAGAGAGAGGGGAAGAGGTGATGCAGGAGGATGGGAAGTGAGGTCATTTCTTGTGCTCTCCTGTCCTGCAGAGTAAGGAGGAAGAACAGGCTGGCAGAGACATCAGGTAAATTCTTCCCTGCACAGATCCCCTCCTCAGTGCACAGATTCCCTCTCCCCCCCTGCCTCCCTTACATTCCCCCTCTCTTCCCTGAACTTTCATGTATCCCCTTTATCTCTGCCTCCCCTGAACTTTCACAGATCCCCTATATCCCTGCCTCCCCTGCACACATCCCACCTCCCTCGCCTGCACAGATCCCCCTGCCTCCCTGACAGCCCCACTACCTGCACAGATTCCCTCTCCCTCTGCCTCCTCTGTACACAACCACTCTCCCCCCTCCCCTGTACAGATCCCCCTGCCTATCTGACAGATCCCTTCTCCCCCTGCTTCCCCTGCACACATCCCCTTTATCCCCTGCCTCCCCTGCACACATGCCCTCTACCCCCTCCCTCCCCTGTACAGAACCCTCTTCCCTTTCCTCCCCTGTACAGATCCCCCTGCCTATCTGACAGATCCCTTGTCTCACTGCCTCCCCTGCACACAGCCCCTCTCCCACTCCCTCCCCTGCACAGATTACCCTGCCTCCCTGACAGTTCCCCTCCCTACACAGATTCCCCCTCCCCCTACCTCCCTTGCATACATCCCCTCTCCCCCTTCCTCCCCTGCACACTAACTCCTGCCTCCTGACAGCCCCCCTCCTGCACATATAACCTCTCTCCTGCCTCCATTGCACATTCCCTCCCCGCACAGATCCCCCCTGCCTCCCTGACAGTCCAGCTCCTGCACAGATCCCCTCTCCCCTTGCCACCTCTGCACACAACCCCTCTGCCCCTCCCTCCCCTGCATAGATCCCCCTTCCTCCCTGACAGCTCCCTCCCTGCACAGATCCCCTCTCCCACTTCCTCCCCTGCACACTGCCCCCTCCCCCCCATTTAAAGGAACACTGTGCCCAAATGGGCAAACAAACCCACCCCTATTCATTGGGTGTATATCTTTAAAAAGCTTGAAAAGGTTGTAAACTGCAGCCACGGACATGGGTCGAGATAGGGGCGGCATAAGCTCTAGCTACTCCACTGAATACCACCCTACAATGTGACATTTATTGTGCCGTGAAAATTGAGATCTGGAATATATAAGGAGTGACAATACACAAAAGTCATTCACATCTCGTCAGAGCAGTATAATACCAATGCTTTGTAAAGCTTACAGAATTAACTTGAAATCTTTGATAACCAAAGCAAAATTATACACTGAGCAATCTAGGCAACTGCCTATGGGCCATGGTAAGGTGAACAAAGCATTATAAGAATTATGGAAACCAAACATACTCATTGCATTAAAAATTTTGTTGTTTTTTTCTATTTTATAAAATGTTCACTACTCAAGATTTCCAGAAAAGTGACAATAATGTTCGTCTCCACGCTGTACTGTTCATATATATGGGTACAATTTGTTTGAGGCCTAAATAAGGGGTTAATCACAGACCAGCTAGTTGTGGTGAACAGAAAGCAACATTTACCAAAATAGTCATGTTCAGAATAGAGATTATGATAATTATTTTAACTTGTGTTTTCAAATTGCTTATTTATGAAATAACTGCCAAGTATTCACCCAGTTCCGTTTTTATTAGATATATTAATGCTTCTAATGTAATATTATGCATTTACAGCTTAGTTCCCTTTAAATAAAGGGCAGTTGAAAAATGTAAAAAACCTATTATTCCCTTTCATTTTGACAGAAAAAAGAGTGCGTATTTCAAGTTTACACAGTTGCATGGAAGAACTTGATGGAGGTGACCAGGACACGTTGCTTTAACAGGAAGTGAAGATTTGAATTACCTTCCAAAATAATCAATATCAATGTATTTCTTGTAGAATACAGCGTAAATTGTATCCACATATATAGTTTCTAGGCACTGGAGTTATAAAATCTGTCATTAACACCCATTTTTAAGGCTTGTCAAATTAAACTGGGCAGAATGTAACAAACAAAAAAGAAAAGCACCACTCGATTTGAAATTTTAATAAACACTCAATGTATAAAAGTACTTGATTTGATACAATGAAAGTCGCACAGACAGTAATAGGAAGAGTGGTTATTGTTATTTTTCCTGATTGCGCAGACTAATTCAGAAACATGTGTATACTTACACTGAATGACTGTACAAAAATCACAAAGATGGGAAGAGATAATTTATAAAATAAATTACCTTTATTCATTCATTTCTCTGTTTCCTTTCTGTGCGTTTGGTGTATGGTTTTGCAAATTATTTAAGATTTTATTTTGTGTCTGGTTGTCTTTACTGTGTTGTGTGTGTATTTCAAACACAATGCTATGCACGGACTGACTTGAATATTGGCCACTAGATGGCAATAGCATCACACTATTAGGAAGTCATAGGACGTAATAATTGACAAAACAGATACCGACTTCATGTGTGCTCACATTTGTATATCGATACACAGACAGACAGGCAGTGATGGATATATTTTGTCAGTGTCAAATGTTATGTAGCAGTGTCCAATACATAACTGTCCTTCTCAGTACCTCTGAATTCAGCTGCCAACTGTCTTTCTCAATAACCCACTATGTCTTCTCAGCTGCTTCCTATCTTTAACACTCACATGGAGAATCCTGTGTTATTACTTTGTAGCATTAAAGGACCACTCTAGGCACCCAGACCACTTCAGCTTAATGAAGTGGTCTGGGTGCCAGGTCCAGCTAGGGTTAACCTCATTTTTTCATAAACATAGCAGTTTCAGAGAAACTGCTATGTTTATGAATGGGTTAAGCCTTCCCCCTAATCCTCTAGTGGCTGTCTCATTGACAGCCACTAGAGGCGCTTGCGTGCTTCTCACTGTGATTTTCACAGTGAGAGCACGCAAGCGTCCATAGGAAAGCATTGAAAATGCTTTCCTATGCGACGGGCTGAATGCGCGCGCAGCTCTTGCCGCGCGTGCGCATTCAGCCGGCGAGGCGGAGAGGAGGAGGAGAGAAGGAGGAGAGCTCTCCGTCCAGCGCTGGAAAAAGGTAAGTTATTACCCCTTTCCCCCTTCCAGAGCCGGGCGGGAGGGGGTCCCTGAGGGTGGGGGCACCCTCAGGGCACTATAGTGCCAGGAAAACGAGTATGTTTTCCTGGCACTATAGTGGTCCTTTAATAATTGGCAGTGTTTAGAGGCACACCCAGGTCTTTCTTATGCCTTTTTATAATGGTTTTCCGAACATATTTAAAGGGAAATTGGCATCAGATGTCAAAAACATATCTTGTTACCTGAGTAATAACATTTCATCAACGTTATAATGATTTAATAAAAATAAATATATATATATAGGAAAATACGAAGGAGAGCACTATTCATTGGACTTTCAACCACCTTTCACCTTTATTCACAGTACAGTTATGTCACATCAATGTTTCAGTCTCTCCAGACTTTAATCAGGATACATATATATTAATTACAGCGATTCTATTAATAGCCATTTAATTTTAAGGTACATATTTTAATAAATATCAACCAAAATCTAACAGGAATCAATGCCCAATATTTAACTGATATTGCATAATCTGAGCTTTAAAGGAACATTGTACTCACTATAACAACTTCTATTTGAAGTTTTTCTATTGCCTACAGTAGTTCACCCCTCCTTAGTGGCCTAAATGACTTTATTTTGATAATTAGAATGCTTGGAAGAGTGACTTCCAGACACGTTTCCGAACCCTCTGGGTAGGAGAGCTTTCATTTCCTAGCATAGTGTGACATCACTCGCACATGCACAGTGCTGTCGCAGTCAGTCATAGAGAATCATTGTATGCAATGATTCCCAATGGCAGAACCATAGGCAGATTGTGGCAGACCCCTCAATAGTGCGCCACATGAGACCTAGTATTTGTGATCAGGTGAGTGCACAGAGGTGGGGTCCTGAAACTTACTAGGAACATTAAGACTATAGTGTTTGGAATACAGATATGTTCATAAGTCGGAATAAAGAAAAGAAGGAGCTGGGTCCTAAGTAAAACTTAAGAAAGATCACAATTTGAGTCTCTAAAATACATTAGTTTCTACAAAATAGATCATAATTATTAAAATACAAATATATATTCAGTAGTCACTTTATTATTTGTGCAATGGGTGGGACTCTCGTTTTTCCCTAATACAGCCGACATTCTTTACGGCTTGGATTCAGTAGCCCAGAAATATCAGCATAGGTATGCTTTTACTAATGCATTTAAATGTAATTTTAAGAAGCATAGAAAAGGGGAGACTGTCATGGCTAGTGCCCTGATTGGGGTGCAGAAAAGCCCCTGATCAATTCTAGCCCTTTTATTGTTTTTCCCAAGTCCCCTGTATAATTGAGAATGAGACAACACTTATGACTCCATTATTTGCACCTTTGCCGCTTTATTTTCCCATATTATGAGTTAATTATACAGCACTGGGTGAGAGTATTGCTGTGGGTACAGGCTTTCGATGCAATGGGTAAAGGTTTAATTCTACAGGTTTGGGACTGATGCTGCAGATGCAGAGTAAATGCAGCTGGTTAGATGTCCAATTAATAAAAAAATTGGTGTCGTAATGTGATTCATAGAACTTGTTAGGATTTGAGGTTGGATATTACACATTGAGGCAATGTATATGGGAAGGACATTAAATGTATCCTCGGTTGAAACCCCTGATTTTACTGCTACCTAGCAACAGCTCTGGTCCTCACACTGGAGGGACAATCATCAAACCATGTTGTTTTGATCTGCTGGCTGACTCAGAGTCTCTGCTCAAGAGGGGCACTGTCCCATGACATCACATGAAGTGCACTGCACATGATGTCATCATAAATAATAACTACCAATTTTTCATTGGATTCCTGATTTATTTTCTTCTACAGTGCCAATACACACAGATACACTCAAAGAGATGTACACACAATGGCACACAGATGCATTGATAAAGACTGCCAAAGTGAATGGTACAATCTCGGATACAATATGCTCTTGCACTGCTTGTTCACAGGACTAAGAAAACAAACCACAGGAATAAACAATATAATGCACAGCTAAAATGGATAGGCTAAAATAGTGAGTATCATCCCAAAACTGGGATAGGTTTGAGGCCTGCATAACCCTGTCATAATTTTGGTTAAGGCTTTATCTAAATTACCTAAATAGACATACTGGGTTACATGATCGAATTATATGACCGAATTCTGACTGTAATGGCATTCTCATATTTACAAACAACTAATGGCCCAAGCAAATTGGCAGCAATCGCATAAATACATACTGTGATCGATTTTAAAATTAATGCTTTTGCATCGAAACCCGATAAAATATAATACTTGCAGTTATGCAAGGACATGAAAAATCAAATGAGCAAAGCACAAATGGATCTAACTGAACAAATAGTCGACTTAGAAACCATAAGCAAAACAGAATGAAGGAACTGGAGGCCCAACTTAAACTGACTTGTGCTGAACTCAATAAATTACAACTACCGTATTTTCCGGCGTATAAGACGACTGGGCGGATAAGACGCCCCCCAACTTTTCCAGTTAAAATATAGAGTTTAGGATATACTCGCCGTATAAGACTACCCTTTTTCCAATGCACACCAAATAAAAATTAGCAATGATGTACAGTGAGCAGACAGAGCTACACAGCAAGACATTAAATAATGATAATCTGAAATAGCATTTAAAGCCCAGGTATGTGCCAGGCTGTTTGGGCATATAATCCATGCCTGCTAGTCTAGCACACAGGAGGCTAATTGCGATATATTCTTTTTACTCCCACCCCTCCATTCTTTTTACCCCCCCTCCATTTTTTTTACTCCCCCTCCATTCTTTTTATTCCCTCCCCATTCTTTTTACTCCACCCCCCCCAATCCTCCCTACATTCTTCTCACCTCCCCTTCCCTGTGCAGAGTGGGTGGCCGAGCTCCTCTTCGTCCTGTCAGTCCGGCCGGGTACCGCGCGATACAGGAGATTCAGTTACCTGTTCCCGGCTGGACTGACAGGACGAAGAGGAGCTCGGCCACCCACTCTGCACAGGGAAGGGGAGGTGAGAAGAGAGGCAGTGCGGCAGCCGTCTGAGCGCTCTCTATAGAGCGGTCAGGCGGCTGCAGCATTAGAAGGGCCGGCGATGGGGGCGCAGGGCGCCCCCGGCAGCCATATAGACCCTATACCCGGCGTATAAGACGACCCCCGACTTTGGAGAAGATTTTCCAGGGTTAAAAAGTCATCTTATACGTCAGAAAATACAGTACATTTAACAGAGCGCTATATGTTAAAACGTAATCAAACCTGTTATATGCAGAGTAATAGATCTGGAAAACCATTAGCTCAAAACGTAAACACAAATATGCCCAAACTAAAATCCCTCACCTTCTTAATTCAGATGGAACGAAGTTAGTGAACCCAACCTAAATTGTAGACAAGCTTGCTCAGTACCACAAATTGTTCTATAATCTTAATGATAATCCCAACACAGCCCAACTATCCCAAAAGGTCATCGATAAATTTCTTCCATCTATAAACCTACCACATTTCACAAATTCATCTCCATTGAGATAAAGTGCTCTGTGTGTCTATAATGTCCCTGTAAACTACTATATACAACAACGTGAGACTGAAAACTACAGACATTACAACTAAGAGGGTTGAATGTCGATTTTGATTTAGTTTTTTTTTAATATTATAATTTTTTTCTCTCCCTTCCGCTCGGCTAATTCATCAAGTATTTTTAATTTTTTATTCTTAATTTTTTAATTCAATTTTTTAATCTAATCTAATATTTTTTTTAAACATTTTTGGTTTATTTTTCAGTTAATTTTAATTGTAGCATCTAATATTTTTTGTTTTTTACTAGGTGTAATATTTTTTAGGTGTACCTCACCTTGTTTCATCAGGTGTATTTTAACTTTTTCACCTTCATTTTGTTTATATTTTTTACTTTTGTTTTTTAAGTATTTTTTATTTAGGCATTCTCCAATATATATGTGGATATTACTATGATTATTATATTCTTTTATATTTCTGCATTGGCTATCTGCTAATACTAGCTTTATATATCTTTGTACACATTTTATATTGAGACTTCATATTCTTGGGACTTTGGCACACAAGAATCAAGATATGAAAGAGTGTGGAACGCAGTTGTTTCCAATACAATATGAAGGACT